CAGTCAGGGTGTTCCTGGGTGTTCCAGTCAGGGTGTTCCTGGGTGTTTCAGTCAGGGTGTTCCTGGGTGTTCCAGTCAGGGTGTTCCTCGGTGTTCCAGTCAGGGTGTTCCTGGGTGTTCCAGTCAGGGTGTTCCAGTCAGGGTGTTCCTGGGTGTTCCAGTCAGGGTGTTCCTCGGTGTTCCAGTCAGGGTGTTCCTGAGTGTTCCAGTCAGGGTGTTCCTGGGTGTTCCAGTCAGGGTGTTCCTGGGTGTTCCAGTCAGGGTGTTCCTGGGTGTTTCAGTCAGGGTGTTCCAGTCAGGGTGTTCCTGGGTGTTCCAGTCAGGGTGTTCCTGGGTGTTCCAGTCAGGGTGTTCCTGGGTGTTCCAGTCAGGGTGTTCCTCGGTGTTCCAGTCAGGGTGTTCCTGGGTGTTTCAGTCAGGGTGTTCCAGTCAGGGTGTTCCTGGGTGTTCCAGTCAGGGTGTTCCTGGATGTTCCAGTCAGGGTGTTCCTGGGTGTTCCAGTCAGGGTGTTCCTGGGTGTTTCAGTCAGGGTGTTCCAGTCAGGGTGTTCCTGGGTGTTCCAGTCAGGGTGTTCCTGGGTGTTCCAGTCAGGGTGTTCCTGGGTGTTCCAGTCAGGGTGTTCCAGTCAGGGTGTTCCTGGGTGTTCCAGTCAGGGTGTTCCTGGATGTTCCAGTCAGGGTGTTCCTGGGTGTTCCAGTCAGGGTGTTCCTGGGTGTTCCAGTCAGGGTGTTCCAGTCAGGGTGTTCCTGGGTGTTCCAGTCAGGGTGTTCCTGGGTGTTCCAGTCAGGGTGTTCCTGGGTGTTCCAGTCAGGGTGTTCCTGGGTGTTCCAGTCAGGGTGTTCCTGGGTGTTCCAGTCAGGGTGTTCCTGGGTGTTTCAGTCAGGGTGTTCCAGTCAGGGTGTTCCTGGGTGTTTCAGTCAGGGTGTTCCAGTCAGGGTGTTCCTGGGTGTTCCAGTCAGGGTGTTCCTGGGTGTTCCAGTCAGGGTGTTCCTGGGTGTTCCAGTCAGGGTGTTCCTGGGTGTTCCAGTCAGGGTGTTCCAGTCAGGGTGTTCCTGGGTGTTCCAGTCAGGGTGTTCCTGGGTGTTCCAGTCAGGGTGTTCCTGGGTGTTCCAGTCAGGGTGTTCCTGGGTGTTCCAGTCAGGGTGTTCCTGGGTGTTCCAGTCAGGGTGTTCCTGGGTGTTCCAGTCAGGGTGTTCCTGGGTGTTCCTGGGTGTTCCAGTCAGGGTGTTCCTGGGTGTTCCAGTCAGGGTGTTCCTGGGTGTTCCAGTCAGGGTGTTCCAGTCAGGGTGTTCCAATCAGGGTGTTCCTGTCAGGGTGTTCCTGTGTGTTTCAGTCAGGGTGTTCCAGTCAGGGTGTTCCAGTCAGGGTGTTCCTGGGTGTTCCAGTCAGGGTGTTCCTGGGTGTTCCAGTCAGGGTGCTCCAGTCAGGGTGTTCCTGGGTGTTCCAGTCAGGGTGTTCCAGGGTGTTCCAGTCAGGGTGTTCCAGTCACGGTTTTCCAGTCGGGGTGTTTCAGTCAGGGTGTTCCAGTCAGGGTGTTCCAGTCAGGGTGTTCCTGGGTGTTCCAGTCAGGGTGTTCCTCGGTGTTCCAGTCAGGGTGTTCCTGGGTGTTCCAGTCAGGGTGTTCCTGGGTGTTTCAGTCAGGGTGTTCCTGGGTGTTCCAGTCAGGGTGTTCCTCGGTGTTCCAGTCAGGGTGTTCCAGGGTGTTCCAGTCAGGGTGTTCCTCGGTGTTCCAGTCAGGGTGTTCCAGGGTGTTCCTGGGTGTTCCAGTCAGGGTGTTCCTCGGTGTTCCAGTCAGGGTGTTCCAGGGTGTTCCAGTCAGGGTGTTCCTCGGTGTTCCAGTCAGGGTGTTCCAGGGTGTTCCAGTCAGGGTGTTCCTCGGTGTTCCAGGGTGTTGCAGTCGCCTCTGTAATCATTACTAATAATTACAAATAAACAAAACCTTACAATCAGAGAAATGATGAATTCGCAAATTTTGTTAATAAAATTGACTTACTCATTATGCAGAATTAAACTTTGGAAATTAGTCCAACTTAGTCCAAATTAGTCCTAATGTCCCTGCATTAGGTACTACCCCACACACAACCATTCACGAAACAGGTACATCTTTTACAAATCACAGTAGTATTGTTTACACTTACTAGGCGGTTATGAGCTGAGAAACTCCCATGAGGCAAGAGTGTTATTGTCGTAAACAACCTTTGCAACGCCTAGGAGCTCACAAACTACTTAAGCAATGTAAACAAGGCCGTAGTATTTGTGGAAAGGTTTACAGGTTTGATTGTTGCAAAAATGCTGGCAGAGTCCTCGGCCCCTAGGGACGCGAGTTCGATCCCCTTTACATATCCCAAATATTTTCTAATAGACACGTCCTCGTGCTGGACAAAGTAAAGTTGGGTTCATAAGAGAGGTGAAGGAATTCAAACAAGAAATATCTTTCCTAAAACTCTTATATTTATCTGTACAAAACTAAGGTAATTAAAGCTCCACCACTGCAACATATGTTGTGAAGTAACATAATGGTTTAAAACAACATGAGATATGTTGTGAAGTAACATAATGGTTTAAAACAACATGAGATATGTTGTGAAGTAACATAATGGTTTAAAACAACATGAGATATGTTGTGAAGTAACATAATGGTTTAAAACAACATGAGATATGTTGTGAAGTAACATAATGGTTTAAAACAACATAAGATATGTTGTGAAGTAACATAATGGTTTAAAACAACATAAGATATGTTGTGAAGTAACATAATGGTTTAAAACAACATAAGATATAACATTCAATACACAGACTAGATTATTATTAGTACACAAAAACAACTCAATATAAATAGAGGTAAACTGCCCGCTCTCGTAAAAGATCAATATAAATATTTATAAACTACCCTCCCTTCTACAAGATCAATATAAATAGGGGTACACTACCCTCCCTCCTACAAGATCAGTATAAATAGCGGTAAACTTCCCTCCCTTCCACAAGATCAATATAAATAGGGTAAAGAGCCGTCTCTAACAAATCAATATAATTGGGGTAAACATCCTACTCACTCTCACAAGATCAGTATAAATAGAGGTAATCAGTTCTCTTTTTCCCCTTCAAGATCTCTATAAATATGGGTACACTGCCCGCGCCCTAAGATACAAACATAGGTACACAGCCTCCATCTTAAAACATATACATATAATACAAAGTGGAAGTTATACACATTTCCAGAGAAATAATGAAATCTTCAAGAGAAAGGACACAATGTGAACACACAGGCGGTGAGAGCACTAGGGAACACTGGCGTCTCTTCCTTGAAGGCAGAAACACTCCACAAAGAAACAAACACAGAGGTAGTTGTGTATTACACTAACTTGTCATATTCACAATCCAATTTGGGGACACCAACAAACCTCAGGATTCAACAAGCGTTTATGCAGCCCCGTACGAAATCTATACATTATTCCTCAATGATGGGGGGTTTGTTTACATATATTAAAGAGTTTATGAGCTTCGAAGCACTATACGAGGTTGTTCATAACAAAGCTTCCGTGGGTTGTGGAACATCCAGCTTAACATTTGTAAACAAAGCTGCCATGATTGTTAAATGATGTACAGGTTTCGTAAGGGCACTGGTAAACGCTCGGTGAATCTTGGCCTGGCCAGCGGATAGTTTGAGTTGTTTCAACAATAATAAAGCTGAATATGGCCAGCAGTTGGTGTTGCCATATTAGAGTGAGAATACTGACTCAAGTTTAGAGTTATAAATACTAAAGCCTTCACCATACAGTTGATATATTTAAATAATTATACTAATCTGACTAGGATATTTTATATGTAAACTTTATAAATAAAATAATAAAGCCAGTTATCTCACTATTTCCTTCAGGGTATTCACTGATGTCTACAACCCATCCTCTTGATCACCTTGTTCTCCTTGTAACTGTCTGGACACTTGAACGGGTAGTCACGTGATGGACAACTGAACACATAATTTGGTCCTGTTCATTTGATAAGAGTCCGGACAAAATAAAGCTAAAAAAACAAAGTAAAATATTCCTAGGCCTATTATAGTACACATATGTACTATGTTAGGCCTCAGATAGCGTGCATTAGGCCTAAGATGAGCGAGTTAGGTTAGGTTTTATTAGTAATATAAATAAAAAAAATTCTGCTTGCTCAAATTCAGTAATTAGAAAAAGTTTACTTTCTACTGGACCACCACGAGTGACCACCTCGCTACTACGACCACCTTCACCTCAGGGGATGGGCTGGAACTCTACATTATAAACATGATTATTTCTTGTTAATAACTCAGTGACTAGTGATAATGACGTCATTATTATTGAAGCTAAATATATATATGTCAAATTTAGGTCACCAAAATTTCAGTTTTTAATAAACTGATCAGCAAATTTAATGTATATATATATATATATATATATATATATATATATATATATATATATATATATATATATATATATATATATATATATATATATATATATATATATATATATATATATATATGTCGTACCTAGTAGCCAGAACGCACTTCTCAGCCTACTATGCAAGGCCCGATTTGCCTAATAAGCCAAGTTTTCATGAATTAATTGTTTTTCGACTACCTAACCTACCTAACCTAACCTAACTTTTTCGGCTACCTAACCTAACCTAAACTCTAACCATAGGTTAGGTTAGGTTAGGTAGGGTTGGTTAGGTTCGGTCATATATCTACGTTAATTTTAACTCCAATAAAAAAAAAATTTACCTCATACATAATAAAATGGGTAGCTTTATCATTCCATAAGAAAAAAATTAGAGAAAATATATTAATTCAGGAAAACTTGGCTTATTAGGCAAATCGAGCCTTGCATAGTAGGCTGAGAAGTGTGTTCTGGCTACTAGGTACGACATATATATATATATATATATATATATATATATATATATATATATATATATATATATATATATAAATATTTTTATATATATATATATTTCATATATATGCAAATAATATACATATATACTATTTATTTTCATATAAAGGAATTTTAAGGCAGGTGAGGTTTTATTAAATTTACGTATTTAATAAAACTAGGTTCGAATTTTCGTAAAAAGAATTACTAAAGAAATACACGTTTTTTAGGTCTTTGGATGTCAAGATGCTGCATCGTATACTTAAGGCTATACTAGTGGTGCCGGGGCTCCTTCCTTGGGGCCAGTGACACCCGCAACTGATCCCCATTGTTGGGTCTCTAAACTCTCCACGCTGGAGCCTCGAGGATCACAAGAGGGCCCCAGAGCCAGAGCACCTGGAGCCTCCAGGATCACACGAGGGCCCAGAGCCAGAGGTTCTGGCTGCCCAAGGAGCAAATAAGGAGTCCGCAAAATTGGAGTAAGATTTTGCCAGGAGGTTAGTGGGGGAAGCCATCATGGCTAGGTGGGGCGGAGGCCTCCCGTGCTTGTGGAGAAGAATCCTTCCCTTGCAGGAACTCCCACCTCATGCTCGGATCTGGAGAAGGACCTTCTTGTGTGGAGGCTGGTGGAGGTGGTCCTTAAGGGTGGAGGCTGACCTCTTCTTGGACGGCGAAGTGTGGTCCGGGTCCCTCGAACTGCTCTTTGAGGATCTGTGCGGCCTGACGTACTCTGCAAAGAGAGAAGATGTTAAATTTTGCCACAGAAGAATAGTTTAAAAAACAATTAATTTGACTCGAATAATGTCATATTGTTTCGTCTCTTTCGTTGTGTTGTGGGATGTATCGATCGCTAAACAAAACTTTCTTTATGACTTTAAGTCTCGTAATGGATTTGTAATTGATATTTAGAACGTTTTGAATGTCCTGCAACACAGACGGTACTGAACAGTCTTCTTGGCTTGATGCCTTCAGTTGATAATTAGTCCCTTGTCCAGCCATAGCATTGAACCATAGGATACTCTCCTAATCTGAGTTGTATCATTTATTCATAATTAAATTTGAGTTATTCCTGACCACCTGGATTGTGTCATATTCACTTGTGGGTCTATGGAGGGTTTGGGGTGTGAGTTGGCCACTTAGTATGACAACCCTTCAATACTCTCATACTGAAGATCTTTCTAATATCCTAATGGCTCATTGGTTGTTTCAGATCCTCACGAGTCCTATTGTCATGACCCCCTAGCAAATCTTGCGCTGACCCCCTAGGTAGTCATGCCTCGACCACTACATGAGACCAGAAGACATAGCAGGATGTGCAGAATACCCCCGTTGAAGAGCAGAGGTGCAACAGGTACTTTGAGAGAGAACTATCAACATCAGAGGCCCCGAGACTGTTCAACACGCTTCCACTACACATACGGGACATAACTGGCAGACCCTTCACAGTGTTCAAGAGAGAACTTGATAAACACCTCCAAAGGATACCTGATAAACCAGGCTGTGACTCATACGTCAGGCTGCGAGCCGCCGCGTCCAACAGCCTGGTTGATCAGTCCAGCAACCAGGAGGTCTGGTCCTCACCAAGCCGCGGGGTCGTTGATCCCCGAAATCATCTCAAGGTAACCTTAAGGTGACCCCCCCCCCTAGGCAATCTTGCCCTGACCCCCCTCCCAATCATGCCGCGACCCCTAGCCAATCATGGCTCGACCCCCTAGCCAATCATGCCTCGTCCCCTAGCCAATCATGCCTCAACCCCCTAGCCAATCATGCATCGACCCCTAGCCAATCTTGCCCTGGCCCCCTAGCCAATCATGCCTCGACCCCTAGCCAATCTTGCCCTGGCCCCTAGCCAATCTTGCCCTGGCCCCCCCCTAGCCAATCTTGCCCTGGCCCCCTAGCCCCCCTTAGCCAATCTGCCCTGGCCCCCTGGACAATCTTGCCCCCCCTAGCCAATCTTGCCCTGCCCCCCCTAGCCAATCTTGCCCTGACCCCCTAGCCAATCTTGCCCCCCCCCCCTAGCCAATCTTGCCCTGGCCCCCCTAGCCAATCTTGCCCTGGCCCCCCCTAGCCAATCTTGCCCTGGCCCCCCCTAGCCAATCTTGCCCTGCCAATCTTGCCCCCCCCTAGCCAATCTTGCCCTGGCCCCCCTAGCCAATCTTGCCCTGGCCCCCTTGCCCTGGCCCCCTAGCCAATCTTGCCCTGGCCCCCTAGCCAATCTTGCCCTGCCCCCCCTAGCCAATCTTGCCCTGGCCCCCCCTAGCCAATCTTGCCCTGGCCCCCCCTAGCCAATCTTGCCCTGGCCCCCCCTAGCCAATCTTGCCCTGGCCCTGGCCCCCCCTAGCCAATCTTGCCCTGGCCCCCTAGCCAATCTTGCCCTGGCCCCCTAGCCAATCTTGCCCTGCCAATCTTGCCCCCCCCTAGCCAATCTTGCCCCCCCCTAGCCAATCTTGCCCTGGCCCCCCCTAGCCAATCTTGCCCTGGCCCCCTAGCCAATCTTGCCCTGGCCCCCTAGCCAATCTTGCCCTGGCCCCCTGCCAATCTTGCCCTGGCCCCCTAGCCAATCTTGCCCTGGCCCCCCCCTAGCCAATCTTGCCCTGGCCCCCCTAGCCAATCTTGCCCTGGCCCCCTAGCCAATCTTGCCCTGGCCCCCTAGCCAATCTTGCCCTGCCCCCTAGCCAATCTTGCCCCCCCCTAGCCAATCTTGCCCTGGCCCCCCCTAGCCAATCTTGCCCTAGCCAATCTTGCCCTGGCCCCCTAGCCAATCTTGCCCTGGCCCCCTAGCCAATCTTGCCCTGGTTCCCCCCTAGCCAATCTTGCCCGCCCCCCCCCCTAGCCAATCTTGTCCTGGCCCCCTAGCCAATCTTGCCCTGGCCCCCCTAGCCAATCTTGCCCTGGCCCCCCCTAGCCAATCTTGCCCTGGCCCCCTAGCCAATCTTGCCCTGGCCCCCTAGCCAATCTTGCCCTGACCCCTAGCCAATCTTGCCCTGGCCCCCTAGCCAATCTTGCCCTGGCCCCCCCTAGCCAATCTTGCCCTGGCCCCCTAGCCAATCTTGCCCTGACCCCCTAGCCAATCTTGCCCTGACCCCCCCTAGGAAATCTTGCCCTGGCCACCTAGCCAATCTTGCCCTGGCCCCCTAGCCAATCTTGCCCTGACCCCCTAGCCAATCTTGCCCTGGCCCCCCCTAGCCAATCTTGCCCTGGCCCCCCCTAACCAATCTTGCCCTGGCCCCCTAGCCAATCTTGCCCTGGCCCCCTAGCCAATCTTGCCCTGACCCCTTAGTCAATCTTGCCCTGGCCCCCTAGCCAATCTTGCCCTGGCCCCCTAGCCAATCTTGCCCTGACCCCCTAGCCAATCTTGCCCTGGCCCCCTAGCCAATCTTGCCCTGGCCCCCTAGCCAATCTTGCCCTGCCCCCTAGCCAATCTTGCCCTGACCCCCTAGCCAATCTTGCCCTGAACCCCCCCTAGCCAATCTTGCCCTGGCCCCCTAGCCAATCTTGCCCTGACACCCTAGCCAATCTTGCCCTGGCCCCCTAGCCAATCTTGCCCTGGCCCCCTAGCCAATCTTGCCCTGAACCCCTAGCCAATCTTGCCCTGGCCCCCCCTAGCCAATCTTGCCCTGGCCCCCCCCTAGCCAATCTTGCCCTGGCCCCCTAGCCAATCTTGCCCTGCCCCCTAGCCAATCTTGCCCTGGCCCCCCTAGCCAATCTTGCCCTAGCCAATCTTGCCCTGGCCCCCTAGCCAATTGCTCCCCCCTAGCCAATCTTGCCCTGGCCCCCCCTAGCCAATTTTGCCCTGGCCCCCTAGCCAATCTTGCCCTGACCCCCTAGCCAATCTTGCCCTGGCCCCCTAGCCAATCTTGCCCTGACCCCCTAGCCAATCTTGCCCTGACCCCCCCTAGGAAATCTTGCCCTGGCCCCCTAGCCAATCTTGCCCTGACCCCCTAGCCAATCTTGCCCTGGCTCCCCCTAGCCAATCTTGCCCTGGCCCCCCCTAGCCAATCTTGCCCTGGCCCCCTAGCCAATCTTGCCCTGGCCCCCTAGCCAATCTTGCCCTGACCCCCTAGTCAATCTTGCCCTGGCCCCCTAGCCAATCTTGCCCTGACCCCCTAGGCAATCTTGCCCTGACCCTCTAGCCAATCTTGCCCTGGCCCCCTAGCCAATCTTGCCCTGGCCCCCTAGCCAATCATGCCCTGACCCCCTAGCCAATCTTGCCCTGAGCCCCCCTAGCCAATCTTGCCCTGACCCCCTAGCCAATCTTGCCCTGACCCCCTAGCCAATCTTGCCCTGACCCCCCCTAGCCAATCTTGCCCTGGCCCCCTAGCCAATCTTGCCCTGACCCGCTAGCCAATCTTGCCCTGGCCCCCCCTAGCCAATCTTGCCCCGGCCCCCCCTAGTAAATCTTGCCCTGGCCCCCTAGCCAATCTTGCCCTGAACCCCTAGCCAATCTTGCCCTGGCTCCCCCTAGCCAATCTTGCCCTGGCCCCCCCTAGCCAATCTTGCCCTGGCCCCCCTAGCCAATCTTGCCCTGGCTCCCTAGCCAATCTTGCCCTGGCCCCCTAGCCAATCTTGCCCTGGTTCCCCCCTAGCCAATCTTGCCCTGACCCCCTAGCCAATCTTGCCCTGACCCCCTCTAGCAAATCTTGCCCTGGCCCCCTAGCCAATCTTGCCCTGACCCCCTAGCCAATCTTGCCCTGGCCCCCACTAGCCAATCTTGCCCTGGCTCCCCCTAGCCAATCTTGCCCTGGCCCCCTAGCCAATCTTGCCCTGGCCCCCTAGCCAATCTTGCCCTGGCCCCCTAGCCAATCTTGCCCTGGCCCCCCCTAGCCAATCTTGCCCTGGCCCCCCTAGCCAATCTTGCCCTGGCCCCCTAGCCAATCTTGCCCTGGCCCCCTAGCCAATCTTGCCCTGACCCCCTAGCCACTCTTGCGCTGACCCCCCCTAGCCAATCTTGCCCTGGCCCCCTAGCCAATCTTGCCCTGACCCCCTAGCCAATCTTGCCCTGGCCCCCCCTAGCCAATCTTGCCCTGGCCCCCCCTAGCCAATCTTGCCCTGGCCCCCTAGCCAATCTTGCCCTGGCCCCCTAGCCAATCTTGCCCTGACCCCCTAGCCAATCTTGCCCTGGCCCCACCTAGCCAATCTTGCCCTGACCCCCCCTAGCCAATCTTGCCCTGGCCCCCTAGCCAATCTTGCCCTGGACCCCCTAGCCAATCTTGCCCTGACCCCCTAGCCAATCTTGCCCTGGCCCCCCCTAGCCAATCTTGCCCTGGCCCCCCCCAGCCAATCTTGCCCTGGCCCCCTAGCCAATCTTGCCCTGACCCCCTAGCCAATCTTGCCCTGACCCCCTAGCCAATCTTGCCCTGACCCCCTGCCAATCTTGCCCTGACCCCCTAGCCAATCTTGCCCTGGCCCCCTAGCCAATCATGCCCTGACCCCTAGCTAATCTTGCCCTGGCCTCCTAGCCAATCATGCCCTGGCCCCCTAGCCAATCATGCCCTGGCCCCCTAGCCAATCATGCCCTGGCCCCCTAGCCAATCTTGCCCTGACCCCTAGCCAATCTTGCCCTGACCCCCTAGCTAATCTTGCCCTGACCCCCTAGCTAATCTTGCCCTGACCCCCTAGCTAATCTTGCCCTGACCCCCTAGCCAATCATGCGCTGACCCCCTAGCCAATCATGCCCTGACCCCCTAGCCAATCATGCCCTGACCCCCTAGCCAATCTTGCCCTGACCCC